CTCTCAGATGTAGTAAGTTTACCACACAGTGAGCTCTTACACGTAGTAAGTTTACCACACAGTGAGCTCTCACACGTAGTAAGTTTACCACACAGTGAGTTCTCACACGTAGTAAGTTTACCACGCAGTGAGCTCTCACACGTAGTAAGTTTACCACACAGTGAGCTCTCAGATGTAGTAAGTTTACCACACAGTGAGTTCTCACACGTAGTAAGTTTACCACGCAGTGAGTTCTCACACGTAGTAAGTTTACCACACAGTGAGCTCTCACACGTAGTAAGTTTACCACACAGTGAACTTTCACACGTAGTAAGTTTACCACGTAGTGAGCTCTCACACGTAGTAAGTTTACCACACAGTGAGCTCTCACACGTAGTAAGTTTACCACACAGTGAGCTCTCAGATGTAGTAAGTTTACCACACAGTGAGTTCTCACACGTAGTAAGTTTACCACGCAGTGAGCTCTCACACGTAGTAAGTTTACCACACAGTGAGCTCTCAGATGTAGTAAGTTTACCACACAGTGAGTTCTCACACGTAGTAAGTTTACCACGCAGTGAGTTCTCACACGTAGTAAGTTTACCACACAGTGAGCTCTCACACGTAGTAAGTTTACCACACAGTGAACTTTCACACGTAGTAAGTTTACCACGTAGTGAGCTCTCACACGTAGTAAGTTTACCACACAGTGAGCTCTCACACGTAGTAAGTTTACCACACAGTGAGTTCTCACACGTAGTAAGTTTACCACACAGTGAGCTCTCAGATGTAGTAAGTTTACCACACAGTGAGTTCTCACACGTAGTAAGTTTACCACACAGTGAGCTCTCACACGTAGTAAGTTTACCACACAGTGAACTTTCACACGTAGTAAGTTTACCACGTAGTGAGCTCTCAGACGTAGTAAGTTTACCACACAGTGAGTTCTCACACGTAGTAAGTTTACCACACAGTGAGCTCTCACACGTAGTAAGTTTACCACGTAGTGAGCTCTCAGACGTAGTAAGTTTACCACACAGTGAGTTCTCACACGTAGTAAGTTTACCACACAGTGAGCTCTCACACGTAGTAAGTTTACCACACAGTGAGCTCTCACACGTGGTAAGTTTACCACACAGTGAACTTTCACACGTAGTAAGTTTACCACACAGTGAGTTCTCACACGTAGTAAGTTTACCACACAGTGAGCTCTCACACGTAGTAAGTTTACCACACAGTGAGTTCTCACACGTAGTAAGTTTACCACACAGTGAACTTTCACACGTAGTAAGTTTACCACGTAGTGAGCTCTCAGACGTAGTAAGTTTACCACACAGTGAGTTCTCACACGTAGTAAGTTTACCACACAGTGAGCTCTCACACGTAGTAAGTTTACCACACAGTGAGCTCTCACACGTGGTAAGTTTACCACTCAGTGAGCTTTCACACGTAGTAAGTTTACCACTCAGTGGGCTCTCACACGTAGTAAGTTTACCACGCAGTGAGCTCTCAGACGTAGTAAGTTTACCACTCAGTGAGCTCTCACACGTAGTAAGTTTACCACACAGTGAACTCTCAGACGTAGTAAGTTTACCACGCAGTGAGCTCTCAGACGTAGTAAGTTTACCACTCAGTGAGCTCTCACACGTAGTAAGTTTACCACACAGTGAGCTCTCACACGTAGTAAGTTTACCACACAGTGAGCTCTCACACGTAGTAAGTTTACCACGCAGTGAGCTCTCACACGTAGTAAGTTTACCACACAGTGAGCTCTCACACGTAGTAAGTTTACCACTCAGTGAGCTCTCACACGTAGTAAGTTTACCACACAGTGAGCCCTCACACGTAGTAAGTTTACCACACAGTGAGCTCTCACACGTAGTAAGTTTACCACTCAGTGAGCTTTCAGACGTAGTAAGTTTACCACACAGTGAGCTCTCACACGTAGTAAGTTTACCACTCAGTGAGCTTTCACACGTAGTAAGTTTACCACGCAGTGAGCTCTCACACGTAGTAAGTTTACCACACAGTGAGCTCTCACACGTAGTAAGTTTACCACAGTGAGCTCTCACACGTAGTAAGTTTACCACACAGTGAGCTCTCACACGTAGTAAGTTTACCACACAGTGAGCTCTCACACGTAGTAAGTTTACCACACAGTGAGCTCTCACACGTAGTAAGTTTACCACACAGTGAGTTCTCAGACGTAGTAAGTTTACCACACAGTGAGCTCTCACACGTAGTAAGTTTACCACTCAGTGAGCTTTCACACGTAGTAAGTTTACCACTCAGTGAGCTCTCACACGTAGTAAGTTTACCACTCAGTGAGCTCTCAGACGTAGTAAGTTTACCACACAGTGAGCTCTCACACGTAGTAAGTTTACCACGCAGTGAGCTCTCAGACGTAGTAAGTTTACCACACAGTGAGCTCTCACACGTAGTAAGTTTACCACACAGTGAGCTCTCACACGTAGTAAGTTTACCACTCAGTGAGCTCTCACACGTAGTAAGTTTACCACACAGTGAGCTCTCAGACGTAGTAAGTTTACCACACAGTGAGCTCTCACACGTAGTAAGTTTACCACTCAGTGAGCTTTCACATGTAGTAAGTTTACCACACAGTGAGCTCTCAGACGTAGTAAGTTTACCACACAGTGAGCTCTCACACGTAGTAAGTTTACCACTCAGTGAGCTCTCACACGTAGTAAGTTTACCACTCAGTGAGCTTTCACACGTAGTAAGTTTACCACACAGTGAGCTCTCACACGTAGTAAGTTTACCACACAGTGAGCTCTTACACGTAGTAAGTTTACCACACAGTGAGCTCTTACACGTAGTAAGTTTACCACACAGTGAGCTCTCACACGTAGTAAGTTTACCACGCAGTGAGCTCTCAGACGTAGTAAGTTTACCACACAGTGAGTTCTCACACGTAGTAAGTTTACCACACAGTGAGCTCTCACACGTAGTAAGTTTACCACACAGTGAGCTCTCACACGTAGTAAGTTTACCACACAGTGAGCTCTCACACGTAGTAAGTTTACCACACAGTGAGCTCTCACACGTAGTAAGTTTACCACGTAGTGAGCTCTCACACGTAGTAAGTTTACCACACAGTGAGCTCTCACACGTAGTAAGCAAGGCTTTTGGGACAAATGTAATCCACGAGTAGAGGGTTGACTTTGGGTGAGGTCGCGTGCAATATGAATGTTGTGTCGTTAAACCCGACACCACCGTCCCAACAAAGCCCATCGGTGAGGGGGTTTGACAGGGAAACAAAACGTGGCCAGTTGGTTACAAGCACAGCACTACACCGGTTGTTGTGTGTTGGAGAGTAAACCCACTACAACATTTACAATTATCGTGTAGTGTATAGTGTAGTGTATAGTGTAGTGCAGTGTATAGTGTAGTGTATAGTGTAGTCTACAGAGTGTACTGTATAGTGTAGTATATAGTGTAGTCTACAGTGTGTAGTGTAGTGTATAGTGTAGTGCATAGTGTAGTCTACAGTGTATAGTGTAGTGTATAGTGTAGTATATAGTGTAGTGTAAAGTGTAGTGTATAGTGTAGTCTACAGTGTATAGTGTAGTGTGTAGGTAGTGTATAGTGTAGTGTAAAGTGTACGTGGGACTCCTTTCACACCACCGCACGTAGCCAACCACGCTAGGAATGAGGTGCGCGGGGTTGGGGGGGGGGGTGGACAACAAACTGGACGCAGCTCTAAACAAATTGTGCTTTCAATCTCGCCGATGACTTGAAAGTGCCATAGCTACCGGTGGCTTTGCTAGAACGCTCCGCACGTCGCGGCCCCTACAGCACTCAGCAGCATCCGCCGGTCGCCCGTCGGAATGCCGGACTCACAAATCTAAACTGAACTATTTTTTTTTTTTACCAGGAGGTAAAGCCCCGCTGAGATGCTGCGTAGCTCTCTTCCAGAAGCGGCCTGGCTGTCAAAAACGAGAGCTCGTCGAAGTGGCGGCCCATCATCATCATCACGTGGAAATGTAGAGCAGTAAAGAGAGACACGGCAAACTCCAAATACACAGCAGCAGGTGTCAGGGTCGGGATCGAGTCCGCGACCTCGTGTGGACCAGGCGAGGGAGTTAACGTCTCGTCAGAGTGCAAAGTGGTGACCAACGGGTGTCAGGGTCGGGATCGAGTCCGCGACCTCCTGTGGACAAGGCGAGGTAGTTAACGTCTCGTCAGAGTGCAAAGTGGTGACCAACGGGTGTCAGGGTCGGGATCGAGTCCGCGACCTCCTGTGGACCAGGCGAGGTGGTTAACGTCTCGTCAGAGTGCAAAGTGGTGACCAACGGGTGTCAGGGTCGGGATCGAGTCCGCGACCTCCTGTGGACCAGGCGAGGTGGTTAACGTCTCGTCAGAGTGCAAAGTGGTGACCAACGGGTGTCAGGGTCGGGATCGAGTCCGCGACCTCCTGTAGACCAGGCGAGGGAGTTAACGTCTCGTCAGAGTGCAAAGTGGTGACCAACGGGTGTCAGGGTCGGGATCGAGTCCGCGACCTCCTGTGGACCAGGCGAGGTGGTTAACGTCTCGTCAGAGTGCAAAGTGGTGACCAACGGGTGTCAGGGTCGGGATCGAGTCCGCGACCTCCTGTGGACCAGGCGAGGTGGTTAACGTCTCGTCAGAGTGCAAAGTGGTGACCAACGGGTGTCAGGGTCGGGATCGAGTCCGCGACCTCCTGTAGACCAGGCGAGGGAGTTAACGTCTCGTCAGAGTGCAAAGTGGTGACCAATGGGTGTCAGGGTCGGGATCGAGTCCGCGACCTCCTGTAGACCAGGCGAGGTGGTTAACGTCTCGTCAGAGTGCAAAGTGGTGACCAATGGGTGTCAGGGTCGGGATCGAGTCCGCGACCTCCTGTAGACCAGGCGAGGTGGTTAACGGCGGCGCCCCCAAGGCTCAACGCGAGAGACGATGGGACCGGGCGAAGATTCTCCGGCGAGAGGCGACGCGAGTGAAGCCGAGCCGGGGAAGCCACGCACCACCAGCGCACCCGTGCCTACCGATGTTGTTCTGGTCCAGGCACTGCATGAAGGGATCGCCGTTGAGGATGTTCTGCCTCCGGAACCTGCGGCTGCATCGACGGCGACGACAAACACACCACGGCACGCATCAGCGGGACGCGCGCCTGCCGCTCACGTGTAACGATGGACACGTGTGTGTGTGTGTGCGTGTGTGTGCGTGTGCGTGTGCGTGCGTGCGCGTGTGCGCGTGTGTGCGTGTGTGTGTGTGTGCGTGTGCGCGCGTGTGTGTGCGTGTGTGCGTGCGTGCGCGTGTGTGCGCGCGTGTGTGTGTGTGTGGGAGAGGCAGTGTAGTGGTCAGCGCTACGCTGCGCTATGAACCCGGCGCCCCGGGTTCGATTCCCGCTCACGGCCAACACCGGTGACGATTATCTGAACCGGTCCTGGGCCTCCCCTAGGTCGACTCGGCCTCAAATGAGTACCCGGTGCGATGTGTAGAAATCGCCACTGGGGAGACAAAGGCGGCCGGGCGTGGTGTTGGCCACCCACCCCCTCGTGTGCCGTGCCGGCCTTCACAGGCGCTACTCGCTAACAGCACTTGCCCCTACAGCTTGTCAAGGCTACACGGTGGAGCGCAGCACGTGACGTGCTGGTCACCTGCTGCATGTGACGTGTTAGTTACCTGCTGCGTGTGGTGTGCTGGTCACCTGCTGCGTGTGACGTGTTAGTTACCTGCTGCGTGTGACGTGTTAGTCACCTGCTGCGTGTGGTGTGCTGGTCACCTGCTGCGTGTGACGTGCTAGTCACCTGCTGCGTGTGTGACGTGCTGGTCACCTGCTGCGTGTGTGACGTGTTAGTCACCTGCTGCGTGTGACGTGTTAGTTACCTGCTGCGTGTGACGTGTTAGTTACCTGCTGCGTGTGACGTGCTGGTCACCTGCTGCGTGTGACGTGTTAGTTACCTGCTGCGTGTGACGTGCTGGTCACCTGCTGCGTGTGACGTGTTAGTTACCTGCTGCGTGTGACGTGTTAGTTACCTGCTGCATGTGACGTGCTGGTCACCTGCTGCGTGTGACGTGCTGGTCACCTGCTGCGTGTGTGACGTGTTAGTTACCTGCTGCGTGTGACGTGGTGGTCACCTGCTGCGTGTGATGTGTTAGTCACCTGCTGCGTGTGTGACGTGTTAGTCACCTGCTGCGTGTGACGTGCTGGTCACCGGCTGCGTGTGACTTGTTAGTTACCTGCTGCTTGTGACGTACTGGTCACCTGCTGCGTGTGTGACGTGTTAGTTACCTGCTGCGTGTGAGTGCTGGTCACCTGCTGCGTGTGTGACGTGCTGTTACCTGCTGCGTGTGACGTGTTAGTTACCTGCTGCGTGTGAGTGCTGGTCACCTGCTGCGTGTGTGACGTGTTAGTCACCTGCTGCGTGTGACGTGTTAGTCACCTGCTGCGTGTGACGTGGTGGTCACCTGCTGCGTGTGACGTGCTGTTACCTGCTGCATGTGTGACGTGTTGGTTACCTGCTGCGTGTGACGTGGTGGTTACCTGCTGCGCGTGTGACGTGGTGGTCACCTGCTGTGTGTGAGTGCTGGTCACCTGCTGCGTGTGACGTGTTAGTTACCTGCTGCGTGTGACGTGTTAGTCACCTGCTGCGTGTGACGTGTTAGTCACCTGCTGCGTGTGGCGTGTTAGTCACCTGCTGCGTGTGACGTGTTAGTCACCTGCTGCGTGTGTGACGTGTTAGTTACCTGCTGCGTGTGTGACGTGCTGGTCACCTGCTGCGTGTGACGTGCTGTCATCTGCTGCGTGTGACGTGTTAGTCACCTGCTGCGTGTGACGTGTTAGTCACCTGCTGCGTGTGACGTGTTAGTCACCTGCTGCGTGTGACGTGCTGTTACCTGCTGCGTGTGGCGTGCTGGTACTTGGAGCAGGAGAGGCCATCCCAGGCACAGTAGGGGTCGCGCGCCAGGCAACACTCGGCACACACGCTGCCGTACGACACGCACTGCTGCAACTGCAGCGCCACCACTCCCGCCGCCGAGCCCACGAACAGCCGCTGCTGCTCACGCACGAGGGGCGGGGGAGCAGGGGGAGGATGTCAGTCGTGGGCCCAGGTAGAGGGACACACAACTCAACGCGTGCTGCTGGTGGTGGTGCTGGTGGTGGTGACGGTGGTAGTGGTGTTGGTGCTGGTGGAAGTGGTGTTGGTGCTGGTGGTGGTGCTGGTGTTGGTGCTGGCGGTACTGGTGGTGGTGCTGGTGGTGGTGCTGGTGGTGGTGCTGGTGGTGGTAGTGGTGTTGGTGCTGGTGGTAGTGGTGGTGCTGGTGCTGGTGGTGGCGCTGGTGGTGCTGGTGGTGCTGGTGGCGGTACTGGTGTTGGTGCTGGCGGTACTGGTGGTGGTGCTGGTGGTGGTGCTGGTGGTGGTGCTGGTGGTGGTGGCGGTGCCGGTGGTGGTGGTGGTGCTGCTGGTGGTGCTGGTGGTGCTGGTGCTGGTGGCGGTGCTGCTGGTGATGCTGCTGGTGGTGCTGGTGCTGGTGGTGGTGCTGCTGGTGCTGCTGGTGCTGCTGGTGGTGCTGGTGGTGGTGCTGCTGGTGATGCTGGTGGTAGTGGTGTTGGTGGCTACGCTGCTGCTGCCTGTGATCCTCTCGTGCGTGGGTTGGTGGATCACGCACAGACGGGCTGTGATACTCTCATGAGTGTGGAGGAGGAGCCGTGCCCGGGGCTCTGCCAGGAGACGGCGGTGCAGCAAAGTGCGGACTCAATGTGTTCCATCTTTCCAGGGATAGAGTGTTGCCCCCTCGCACGGCGTGTTCTCTGGGTGCTCCGAGTTTCTTCCACGTGTATGGACTACTCATTCATCGTCTGAAAATGTTTTCACGTATAGAGGGTGCGTAAAAAAAATGTGAACACTTAGATGGGACTCGCGTTTTTAATGGAAAAAGAACGAATAACACTACACTGTAACGTTATTACAAATGTAATGTTAATAGCTTCAAAAACTCAAAGAGTCTCCAATTGTAATAATAGGAGTTTTCCCCTTTTTTCTGGCAACAAAACTGAAATCTTTTTACAAGGATTCATGTTACTGCATTAACCACAATACCTGCAGTCAAAATGCAAACAAAAAGCATACTATGATAATATATGTGGCAATGTCCTTGAAACTGATTGGTCCACACCAAGGGACGGCTTTCTTTGTTGTGGACCAATCAGTTTCAAGGACAATGCATATATTATACTGGTAGGAACGAAGTTGTAAACTGAGTGTACCAGCCTGCAATAGATTAATGTGTCCGTCCGTCCGTCCCCTTTCAATACTTTAACGAAGTGAAATCTCGTGCTGTTGGGGTGTAAAAATAAAATTGCGCAAAATTCAAATGTTCCTACCAGCCCACCCTGCAGGGACCTGTTCATAGTATGTTTTTTTCTTGCATTTTGACTGCAGGTATTGTGGTTAATGCAGTAACATGAATCCTTGCAAAAAGGTTTCAGTTTTGTTGCCAGAAAAAAGGGGAAAACTCCTATTATTATTACATTTTGGTACTGGCAAAGGAGGTCTAATGATGAGTCTCCACTTGTTCGCCATCGTCGTCAACGCGCGCCTGGCATCTTCCCCAGGTGGTCTCAAGAGTCCCCGAGGCAGCAGCAACATTTCTCGTGGGCGTTGTCGCAAATTCTCACAAGTGTTGACTTTTATTTTCTGAAGCACCCCTGTGTATGGAGGACTGCAGAGCTTGGACAACTGTGGGGAAGCCGCTGGCTCCTCGTCTGCGGTTCCTCCTCCTGGCGCCCACCGAGTTACACACCTCACCCCCCCCCCCACCCCCCCGGCTCTGTCTCTACGCCAGGGGTGGGGCACGTCAGGCCCGCGGGCCGTATGAGGCCCGCGAAATCATTTGAGTGTGGCCCTGCCAAGGCAACCGCAGGCGGGACTCGAAATTCAACAAATCTAGGAGAGCAAACCTGCAAAAGCAGTTTGCGAGTAGCAACAGCATCGTCGATACCGGCTAACGTCATCACCACGCCTCGCCAAAGAGAAGCAGTTCCAGCCGTCGCATTAGGGGGCGAGTTAATTAAATGTTTGACCAAATGCAACGGGCTCATTTTTAAGTTGACCACTTTGTATGGCCGCCGCGAATGATGTTGTATAAATATCCAAATGGCACGTGGCAGAAATAAGGTTCCCCTGTCCCACTGGTCTAGGAGATCGAGCGAGCGAGCGAGCACCGTGCGGAGGCAGTGGTTGTGATGGTTGTTGTTGTTGTGATGGTTGTTGTTGTTATTAGGATTGTAACGTGGGCGAGGCAGTGGTTGTGATGGTTGTAGTGGTTGTGATGGTTGTTGTTGTTATTAGGATTGTAACGTGGACGAGGCAGTGGTTGTGATGGTTGTTGTGGTTGTTGTTATTAGGATTGTAACGTGGACGAGGCAGTGGTTGTGATGGTTGTTGTGGTTGTGATGGTTGTTGTTGTTATTAGGATTGTAACGTGGACGAGGCAGTGGTTGTGATGGTTGTTGTGGTTGTTGTTATTAGGATTGTAACGTGGACGAGGCAGTGGTTGTGATGGTTGTTGTGGTTGTGATGGTTGTTGTTGTTATTAGGATTGTAACGTGGACGAGGCAGTGGTTGTGATGGTTGTTGTGGTTGTGATGGTTGTTGTTGTTATTAGGATTGTAACGTGGACGAGGCAGTGGTTGTGATGGTTGTTGTGGTTGTTGTTATTAGGATTGTAACGTGGGCGAGGCAGTGGTTGTGATGGTTGTTGTGGTTGTGATGGTTGTTGTTGTTATTAGGATTGTAACGTGGACGAGGCAGTGGTTGTGATGGTTGTTTTTGTTGTTATTAGGATTGTAACGTGGACGAGGCAGTGGTTGTGATGGTTGTTGTGGTTGTTATGGTTGTTGTTGTTATTAGGATTGTAACGTGGACGAGGCAGTGGTTGTGATGGTTGTTGTGGTTGTTGTTATTACGATTGTAACGTGGACGAGGCAGTGGTTGTGATGGTTGTTGTGGTTGTGATGGTTGTTGTTGTTATTAGGATTGTAACGTGGACGAGGCAGTGGTTGTGATGGTTGTTGTGGTTGTTGTTATTGGGATTGTAACGTGGACGAGGCAGTGGTTGTGATGGTTGTTGTGGTTGTGATGGTTGTTGTTGTTATTAGGATTGTAACGTGGACGAGGCAGTGGTTGTGATGGTTGTTGTGGTTGTGATGGTTGTTGTTGTTATTAGGATTGTAACGTGGACGAGGCAGTGGTTGTGATGGTTGTTGTGGTTGTTGTTATTAGGATTGTAACGTGGGCGAGGCAGTGGTTGTGATGGTTGTTGTGGTTGTGATGGTTGTTGTTGTTATTAGGATTGTAACGTGGACGAGGCAGTGGTTGTGATGGTTGTTTTTGTTGTTATTAGGATTGTAACGTGGACGAGGCAGTGGTTGTGATGGTTGTTGTGGTTGTTATGGTTGTTGTTGTTATTAGGATTGTAACGTGGACGAGGCAGTGGTTGTGATGGTTGTTGTGGTTGTTGTTATTACTATTGTAACGTGGACGAGGCAGTGGTTGTGATGATTGTTCTTGTTGTTGTTATTAGGATTGTAACGTGGACGAGGCAGTGGTTGTGATTGTTGTTGTTATTAGGATTGTAACGTGGACGAGGCAGTGGTTGTGATGGTTGTTGTTGTTATTAGGATTGTAACGTGGACGAGGCAGTGGTTGTGATGATTGTTGTTGTTATTGTTGTTGTTATTAGGATTGTAACGTGGACGAGGCAGTGGTTGTGATTGTTGTTGTTATTAGGATTGTAACGTGGACGAGGCTGTGGTTGTGATGATTGTTGTTGTTATTAGGATTGTAACGTGGACGAGGCAGTGGTTGTGATGATTGTTGTTGTTGTTATTGTTGTTGTTGTTATTAGGATTGTAACGTGGAGGTCTGTGTAGTGCGTAGACTCCACCCACAACGGCGCACGCGGTGAACGAGCGATGGGGGAGTGATTGAGGAGAGTGATTGTGGAGAGTGATTGTAAAGAGTGATTGTGGAGAGTGATTGTGGAGAGTGATTGTGGGGAGTGATTGTAAAGAGTGATTGTGGGGAGTGATTGTGGGGAGTGATTGTGGGGAGTGATTGTGGGGAGTGATTGTGGGGAGTGATTGTGGGGAGTGATTGTGGGGAGTGATTGTGGAGAGTGATTGTGGGGAGTGATTGTGGGGAGTGATTGTGGAGAGTGATTGTGGGGAGTGATTGTGGGGAGTGATTGTGGGGAGTGATTGTGGGGAGTGATTGTGGGGAGTGATTGTGGGGAGTGATTGTGGGGAGTGATTGTGGAGAGTGATTGTGGAGAGTGATTGTGGAGAGTGATTGTGGGGAGTGATTGTGGGGAGTGATTGTGGGGAGTGATTGTGGGGAGTGATTGTGGGGAGTGATTGTGGGGAGTGATTGTGGGGAGTGATTGTGGGGAGTGATTGTGGGGAGTGATTGTGGGGAGTGATTGTGGGGAGTGATTGTGGAGAGTGATTGTGGAGAGTGATTGTGGGGAGTGATTGTGGAGAGTGATTGTGGAGAGTGATTGTGGAGAGTGATTGTGGAGAGTGATTGTGGGGAGTGATTGTAGGGAGTGATTGTGGAGAGTGATTGTGGAGAGTGATTGTGGAGAGTGATTGTGGGGAGTGATTGTGGAGAGTGATTGTGGAGAGTGATTGTGGACAGTGATTGTACCCGCTTGACGGAGATGGCCATGGCGGTGATCGTGGTCGGCACCTGGGGGGGAGGGGGCGGCAGCGAGGCGGCACAGAGTGGCACCACCAAAACCGTCACCACCACCGTCACCACCACCATCACCACCACCACCGTCACCACCACCACCACCGTCACCACCACCACCACCGTCACCACCACCACCGTCACCACCACCACCGTCACCACCACCGTCACCACCACCACCGTCACCACCACCATCACCACCACCGTCACCACCACCACCGTCACCACCACCGTCACCACCATCACCACCACCGTCACCACCACCATCACCACCACCGTCACTACCACCACCATCACCACCACCATCACCACCGGCGTCACCACCACCATCACGTTAACACCACCACCGTGTCAAAACCACCGCCACCATCACCCCATCACCGGTGATGGCCGTGAGCGAGAATCGAACTCGGGTCGCCAGGTTCGCTACACTACCGCTCCCCACAGACACACAGTAACACACACACACAGTAATACACAGTAACACACACGCACACAGAGTAACAACAACAACCGCCATTCCCCACTAAGTGTCGGTGATGTCACCACGACGCTTGTGCCAGGCTATGTGCACCTTGAGGCCACGTGAAGTGTCGAACGCCCGCTGGCAGGAGGTCACGTGGAAGACCCAGGTGCCACGGGTCGACTGACTGAGATGACTGGCTGATGCACCACCTGTGCCCCCTACTGTGCCAACCGGCTGTGCTTTAGCCACCCGGCGCTCCGCTCGTTGTTGTGAGCGTCGCTCCTCCGCCCTCCGTTGTTGTTGGAGGGCGACTGCCTCCAACTGCCAAGTAGTGTCCTTCACGAGCCTCCTCCATAGAGGCCGAGCTTGACACCGCTGGTACCAGTCATCGGCAAGTCCACTCAGCTCCACGTCCTCCTGTACCACATCACTCCATCTCTTCTCTTGCCCGTGCTGTGCCCATTTAGTCCCCTCGATCCGGCCGAACAAAAGCTGTTTCGGCATGCAGTTCCATCGGAGGAGCTCACCGATGGGACCTTGCCCACATCTTTCAAGGATTTGTGAGCTCCTCACACAATCCAGCCTGGTTAAACCCAGGATGGATTGAAGGCAGGCCAGCCTAAATGTTTCTAACTGGCGAAGATGCTACATTAGGGGGGTCCACGTTTCGCAAGCGTAGTGAAGGGAGGGAATGACCGTGGCCGAGAAGACCTGAAGCTTAGTACGGAGCGACAGACCAGGTAGCTTCCACACAGCGTTACGCAACCGATGAAAAGATATTGCCGCTCGACTGATTCGGAGTGAGACCTCCGCTGCTAAACCGGATCCGCTCATGAGCACACTGCCCAGGTATTGGAAACTCTCCACTCTCTCCACAACTGCCCCATCACTAATTGGGAGTTGTGGGGGTGGAGTGTCCGATGGTACAAAATACCTAGGCAGGTGCTTAGTTTTGGTGGGGCTGATGGTAAGGCCCCACCTCTTAGTTGCACACTCCAGTTTCAGCAGAAGTGTGTCTAATTCCTCCTCTGAATGATCAGCAATTACCAGGTCATCGGCATACATAACATGGTTGACCAATAGGGAGCCACCCCTTGACCGAACCTGGGAATCGATCAGCCTACCATTGTATCTGTACCAAATGGAAATTCCCCGGTACAGCTATTGAAGGCTTCACAAACTACGTGGTGAAACACACAGTAACACACACACACAGTGACACACACACAGTGACACACACACAGTAACACACAGTAACACACACACACAGTAACACACCCACAGTAACACACCCACAGTAACACACACAGTAACACACACACAGTAACACACCCACAGTAACACACCCACAGTAACACACACACAGTAACACACCCACAGTAACACACCCACAGTAACACACACACAGTAACACACACACAGTAACACACACAGTAACACACACAGTGACACACACCCAGTAACACACACACAGTAACACACACACAGTAACACACCCACAGTAACACACCCACGGTAACACACACACAGTAACACACACACAGTAACACACACACAGTAACACACACAGGAACACACAGTAACAGTAACACACAGTAACAGTAAAACACACACAGTAACACACAGTAACAGTAACACACAGTAACAGTAACACACACACAGTAACACACAGTAACACACACACAGTAACACACAGTAACAGTAACACACACACAGTAACACACACACAGTAACACACACACAGTAACACACCCACAGTAACACACCCACAGTAACACACACACAGTAACACACACACAGTAACACACAGTAACAGTAACACACAGTAACAGTAACACACACACAGTAACACACAGTAACAGTAAAACACATACAGTAACACACAGTAACAGTAACACACACAGTAACACACACACAGTAACACACAGTAACAGTAACACACACACAGTAACACACACAGTAACACACACACAGTAACACACACACAGTAACACACACACAGTAACACACACAGTAACACACACACAGTAACACACACACAGTAACACACACACAGTAACACACACACAGTAACACACAGTAACAGTAACACACAGTAACAGTAACACACAGTAACACACCCACAGTAACACACACACAGTAACACACACACAGTAACACACACAGTAACACACAGTAACAGTAACACACACACAGTAACACACAGTAACAGTAACACACAGTAACAGTAACACACAGTAACAGTAAAACACACACAGTAACACACAGTAACAGTAACACACACACACAGTAAAACACACACAGAACCAATGGGGTAATAACCAAGCAACTAAACGAATAAATAAAACCACGGGAGGGAGTTCAGAGGTCACCCCAAATAGCCCCCCTCCCAACCCCCCCCAGTGTTGGGGTGGCGCTTCCCTCCCCGACGCCCGCGCGTCGTTGGGCACGAGGTCCGACGTTCCGCTACCGCGTCCCGGGGGGCCCCTTCCACAGAGCGGCACTTCTTGGAAAGGAAGCTCCTCCCCGAGCAGGCCGTGCGCGGAACGTCGGACGTCGTCGCGCCGAGCGGCGGCGAGGGCGGGGTGCGCTCTCGCGGTCACCTTGAAGGCCTGCAGCTCCTCCAGGACGACCTCCTCGGGGGCACTGACGCCCTCGCGCTCGATGGAGATCACCTTGAGAACCAGGCCAGCGTCTGGCGGGGGACACGCGGGGAGGGGGAGGGGTGGGGGTTAGACGCCCGCTCGCTCGCTCGCTCGCCCACTCACCCACCCACTCATCCACTCACAAACCCACTCACCCACCCATCCACTCACTCACCCACTCACTCACCCACTCACCCACTCACTCACACACTCACCCACTCACCCACCCACTCACTCACCAACTCACCCACTCACTCACCCACCCATCCACTCACTCACCCACCCACTCACTCACTCACTCACCCACCCACTCACTCACTCACTCACCCACCCACCCACCCACTCACTCACCCACCAACCAACTCACCCACCCACTCACTCACCAACTCACCCACTCACTCACCCACCCATCCGCTCACCCACTCACCCACCCACTCACCCACTCACAAACCCACTCACTCACCCACTCACTCACCCACCCACCCACCAACCCACCAACCAACTCACCCACCCACTCACTCACCCACCCACGCACTCACTCACTCACCCACCCATCCACTCACCCACTCACCACCCACCCACTCACCCACTCACAAACCCACTCACTCACCCACTCACTCACCCACTCACTCACCCACCCACCAACCCACCAACCAACTCACCTACCCACTCACTCACCCACCCACGCACTCACTCACTCACCCACTCACTCACCCACCCATTCACTCACTCACTCACCCACCAACCCACACACCCACTCACAACAACAACCGCCATTCGCCACTAAGTGGCGGTGACATCACCACGACGCTTGTGCCAGGACATGTGCACCTTGAGGCCACGTGGAGTGTCGAACGCCCGCTGGCAGGAGGTCACGGGGGAGACCCAGGTGTCACGGGTCGACTGACTGAGATGACTGGCTGATGCACCACCTGTGCCCCCTACTGTGCCAACCTGCTGTGCTTTAGCCACCCGGCGCTCCGCTCGTTGTTGTGAGCGTCGCTCCTCCGCCCTCCGTTGTTGTTGGAGGGCGACGACCTCCAACTGCCCAGTAGCGTCCTTCACGAGCCTCCTCCACAGAGGCCGATCTTAACACCGCTGGTACCAGTCATCGGCAAGTCCACTCAGCTCCACATCCTCCTGTACCACATCACTCATTCTCTTCTCTAGCCCGTGCCGCGCCCGTTTAGCCCCCTCGATCCGGCCGAACAAAAGCTGTTTCGGCATGCGGTGGCTGGGCATGCGGGCTACATGACCCAGCCATCGCAGCCTTGCCCGCCGGAGGAGCTCACCGATGGGACCTTGCCCAGATCTTTAAAGGATTTGTGAGCTCCTCACACAATCCAGTCTAGTTAAACCCAGGATGGATCGTAGGCAGGCCAGCCTAAATGTTTCTAACCGGCGAAGATGTTCCATTAGGAGGGTCCATGTTTCGCAAGCATAGAGAAGGGAGGGAATGACCGTGGCCGAGAAGACCTGAAGCTTAGTGCGGAGCGACAGACCAGGTAGCTTCCACACAGCGTTACGTTACATCACAAACCCACTCACTCACGCACTCACCCACTCACTCACTCACTCACCCACTCACCCACTCACTCACCCACCCACCCACTCACCCACCAACCCACTCACCAACCCACCCACTCACTCACCCACCAACCCACTCACCCACCTACTCACCCACTCACTCACCAACCCACTCACCCACCTACTCACCCACTCACCAACCCACTCACCCACCCACTCACCCACCTACTCACTCACTCACCCACCCGTGCCCACACTCACCGGTAGCGAGGAAGAGGACGTCGTAGTGGCCGTCCTCAGCCTGCACGCGGTCCACCACGACGCGCTGCAGCCGCTGCCCCGACCCTCGGCCGCTGCCGCCGGTGCTGACAAAGAGGGGCCGGCCGTGCGCGGGCACCACGGGGCGCGCCATGAGGGGGTGCGAGCGGGCAAAGTGGAGCACCTCCTCGGGGTAGTCGCGCGTGCTGCGCAGCGGCGAGTCCGGCGGGCTCGTCAGCTTGCTCGGGCACTGGGGGCCGAAACGACGGACACGGGTGGGCCGATAATGCGACTTTCCTCGTCCCTCGCTTGCCTCGCACGGCGCAGCAATCGGCAGGCCACGTGGGAGTGTGTGGCGGGGCCAAGTGCCGGTGCCTGGCCGGCGTGGAAGAGTAGGCCAAACGCAGGACCCTCACGAGCGGCCTTCTCTCTCGTTCTCTGGAGGCCACGACTCTGGCGGACGACAACCACGACGACGACGACGACGACGAGGAGGATGAGGAGGATGATAAGGAGGAGGATGATGATGAGGATGATGAGGAGGATGATGAGGAGGAGGATGATGAGGAGGAGGTTGATGAGGAGGATGATGAACAGGAGGAGGATGATGAGGATGATGATGAGGAGGATGATGAGGAGGATGAGGAGGATGAGGATGATGAGGAGGATGAGGATGATGAGGAGGATGAGGATGATGAGGAGGATGAGGAGGAGGATGATGAGCAGGATGAGGAGGATGATGAGGAGGAGGATGAGGAGGATGATGAGGAGGATGATGAGGAGGAGGATGAGGAGGAGGATGATAAGGATGATGATGATGAGAAGGAGGATGATGAGGAGGATGATGAGGAGGAGGATGAGGACGAGGAGGAGGATGAGGAGGATGAGGAGGATGAGGAGGATGAGGAGGATGAGGACGAGGAGGAGGATGAGGAGGATGATGAGGAGGATGAGGAGGATGAGGATGATGAGGATGAGGTTGATGAAGAGGATGAGGAGGATGATGAGGATGAGGAGGCGGAGGATGAGGATGATGAGGATGATGAGGAGGATGAGGAGGAGGATGAGGAGGATGAGGAGGAGGATGAGGAGGATGAGGAGGAGGAGGATGAGGATGAGGAGGATGATGAGGATGAGGAGGATGATGAGGAGGATGAAGAGGAGGAGGAGGATGATGAGGAGGATGATGAGGAGAATGATGAGGAGGATGAGGAGGAAGATGAGGAGGATGATGAGGAGGAGGATGAGGAAGAGGAGGATGAGGATGATGAGGAGGATAATGAGGATGATGATGAGGATGATGAGGATGATGAGGAGGAGGATGAGGAGGAGGATGAGGAGGAGGATGAGGAGGATGATGAGGAGGAGGATGATGAGGAGGAGGATGATGAGGATGATGAGGATGATGAGGAGGAGGATGATGAGGATGATGAGGATGATGAGGAGGAGGATGATGAGGAGGAGAAGGATGAGGGCCCTTCCACCAGCAGTGGCACGAGCAAGAGCGATTTGGCCGGGACGCGTGTTTATAATTTCGGCACGCGGCACGGCACGCGGCTCAAATCCGGCGGCGCCGATCGGTTAGGCGGAGCGCGGCACGGATTACACCGGGGGGCCCCCCGCGGCACGGATTACACCAGGGGGGGGGGGGGCTCACCGTGCCGCCCTCCCCGCACCGAGAGCGGCCGTCGTGACCCACCGGCCTTCACCCTATCCAGCCCCGCGCCACCTAGAGCCGTGTGCTCCGAATCGCTCTCCCTCCCTCGCTCCCTCCCTCGCTCCCTCCCTCGCTCCCTCCCTCGCTCTCTTTACCTCCTGTGCCGTGAGTTCACAGAATCAGAGTATTTATTCTGGAGGAATCCGATGAGCTGTAAAGCTTTTTTCAGAGAGATGTTCACAGCATCAGTGCACCAACCGGTGCTCCACCCCCCACCCCCCCCCCCCCCCCCGCGGGGTATCGATCCTCCTCGTCGTCGTCATCATCATCGTCGTCATCATTGGAGTGTGCGTTGGACTTCTTTCGCACCGTACGTAGTCAAGCGTGCCAACCGGAGGTGCATGGGGTAGTGACGGTGCTGCTGGTGGTGATCGTAGGGCCCTGTTTATTCGGCTAGGAATTTTTGGGGCTGTCCCCTGTGCCCCCCCCCACCCCGCTCCCCCTCCGTGTGAATCTTCTAAAGCGGCCTCTGGCGTGACCGCTCAAATCCTACGAAGCCGCCGATTTCAACGCTCCATCTCCGCACCCTCCCGCCCGCCCACCCCCCTCCCCCCCCGTGGTATTTACGGAATCGGCGGCACCAGAGAGAAAGTGGAACAGCGCCACTGCCTCCTCGCTCCCTCGCACCGTCCGGGAGGCAGCGAGGCAGGGAGGCCTCGCAATCGATTCTCCCCACGGCACGGAGACACCACGTGCGGTGCATTAGCTGTGGAATCCCGCTTCGGGATTTACAACTCGCTCACTCCCTCTCCCTCCTGCTCGCTCTCTCTCCCTCTCTCTCTCTGTCTCTCTCCCTCTCTCTCTCTGTCTCTCTCCACCAAGTTCTCTCTCTCTCTCTCCCCATCCCTCCGTCTCTCACTGCCTATCTCTTTTTGTTACGATCAGAGGATTCTAAATTAAGCAACCATTGGAAATTGGAAAGATGTTCTAAAATCGAACTAAACATTAAACTAATTTCAATGGTACAGTATATTTTTCAAGTAGTGGTACCCCAAACTTTGCAGCTCTTATAAATTCCCTTTTCACACCATCAATAGGTAAACTCCCCCCACGCGCCAAACGGCCAGTCCACCGGCACGTACACCACCTCTTTTCTATAATCGGCCAATCAAATGCTAATTTTTATGCTAATTTCTTTGTCAGGACACCTTGTTTGCTCGCACACAGTTTAAAGGTCCGCGGTCTGAGCGTGGTTGTGTTTCGCTAAATTATCCTGTTTGATTGAGTACTAGGTGCCTCGGTGAATGTATATGCTCTGACTTTAACATAGCTATTTCTGTGACCAGTTACAAGCTAATCACTCAGCTATTTCAATGCTAAATTCTATGCTAATTCCTTGTCAAGGGGTGCCTCTGCGGATGTGTATACTTTAACTTAGCTATTTCAATGCTAAATTCTATGCTAATTCCTTTGTCAAGGGGTGCCTTTGCGGATGTGTATGCTTTAACTTTAACATAGCCATTCTGTGACCAGTCACAAGCTAATCACTCAGCCATTTCAATGCTAAATTATATGCTAATTCCTTTGTCAAGGCGCTTTGTTTCTTCTCACACAGCTTAAAGGTCGTGATCTGAGCGTGGCTTTTTCACTCCAGCACTGTCCTCCAAACAGTCTCGTCCCTTCACCTGATGAAGGCCGCTTGTGTTGTGGCCGAAACGTCGTGATTTTTGTTGTTTTATTTTTTACCTATGTGACTTTACCCAATAGAACCAAAGAGGAAACAAGAATATGCTCGGTGTAGTCGGCACTTTGCTTCGTTCATCATTTCGTTTTAGTTTTTTTTTAAATGCTTTGCTTTATGTAAACCCCCCACCCCCCTTTTTAAATGAAAGATTTAACCAAAGATTTCTCTTTCGTTCTCGTTATATCTCTCTCCCTCTCTCTCCCTCTCTCTCCCTCTCTCTCCCTTCCTCTCCCTTCCTCTCCCTCTCTCTCCCTCTCTCTCCCTCTCTCTCCCTCTCTCTCCCTCTCTCTCCCTCTCTCTCCCTTCCACTCTCCCTCTCTCTCCCTCTCTCTCCCTCCCTCTCTCTCCCTCTCTCTCCCTCTCTCTCCCTTCCACTCTCTATCTCCCTCTCTCTCCCTCCCTCTCCCTCTCTCTCCCTCTCTCTCCCTCTCTCTCCCTCTCTCTCCCTTCCTCTCTCTATCTCCCTCTCTCTCCCTCTCTCTCCCTTCCACTCTCTATCTCCCTCTCTCTCACTCTCTCTCCCTCTCTCTCCCTCTCTCTCCCTCTCTCTCCCTCTCTCTCCCTTCCTCTCTCTATCTCCCGCTTTCTTGATCTCTCTCTCCCGCCCCCCCCCCCCCCAACTCTTTCTCACGCCAACATCACCGAGGCGGTGGGGCGATTGCATCTTCACCAATGTTTCATGGATTCACAGCAAAAGTGAAGGCTGTGCAAAGAATTTACATCTGGAGCACTGTGGGGGGCACTCTTACGTACGTGTGTGTGCGTGTTGAGGCGCTAATAGGAGATGCGGGCAAAGGACAACACAACACTGAACACACAAGGAGCAGCTCCAAAGAAATGAGCTTGTCAATCTAGACGACGACGATGATGACGACGATGATGATGATGATGTAAAAGTGCAGCTCAGCTCCCAGCAGCTTCCTAATATCGGAATGGAAGAGCGTTCCAGACGGCCGAAAGCGCCGCGCGCGAAGACGCGGCGGCCGCCGTCTTTGCCCGACGGCGGCAGCCAGAAGCCGCCGCTGCCGCTACCGCCGCCGCCACCGCCGCCACCGCCGCCGCCGCCGGGACGATGACCGGAGGGAGGCGACGTGATGGTGGCGTGTCGCTCCTGGGCGGGATCAGCGAGGTGTCTCGCCGCTTCGCTCGTGGCGAGCGTGCCGAGCGCCGAGCGCCGCGTTCGTCCGGCGAGCACCGGGACAGACCGGGCGGACTTCTGTCGCACCGCACGTGGCCAACCGCGCTAACGGGGGGCACGGTGGGGGGCCCCGCCGTGCGTGCGTGCGTGCGGCGCGGGGGGCGCGGGGGGCGCGAACTCACAAATCCCGGGCGGGGGTACGGCACGCGGCCCTCGAACGCCGCCCACTGGAACTGGGGGCCCTCCTTGTGGGCGTAGGCCCCGTTGAAGGCGTCACGCACATCCGACATGCGGTACGCACACACCGCGTCGCCCTGGAACACGTGGCTGGGCGCACGACGCACACACAACACACACACACGACACACACACACACGAACACACACACACACACGACACACACACACACACGACACACACACACACACGACACACACACACACACACGACACACACACACACGACACACAACACACACACGGCACGCACACGACACACGACACACACACGACACGTACACGACACACACACGACACACACACACACGACACACACACGGCACGCACACGACACACGACACACACACGACACGTACACGACACACACACGACACACACACACGACACACGACACACACACGACACACACACGACACAAACACACACGACACACACACGACACACACACGACACACGACACACACACGACACACACACACGACACACGACACACACGACACACACACACACGACACACGACACACACACACACGACACACGACACACACACACGACACACACACACACACGACACACACACACACACGACACACACACACGACACACGACACACACACACACACACACGACACACGACACACGACACACGACACACGACACACACACGACACACACACACGACACACGACACACACACACACGACACACGACACACACACACACGACACACGACACACACACACACGACACACACACACACGACACACACACACACGACACACACACACGACACACGACACACACACACACACGACACACACACACACGACACACGACACACACACACACGACACACGACACACACACACGACACACACACACACACGACACACACACACACGACACACACACACGACACACGACACACACACACACACACGACACACGACACACACACGACACACGACACACGACACACACACGACACACACACACGACACACGACACACGACACACACGACACACACACACACGACACACGACACACACACACACGACACACGACACACACACACACGACACACACACACACGACACACACACACGACACACGACACACACACACACACGACACACACACACACACGACACACACACACACGACACACGACACACACACACACGACACACGACACACACACACGACACACACACACACACGACACACACACACACGACACACACACCCGACACACGACACACACACACACACACGACACACGACACACACACGACACACGACACACGACACACACACGACACACACACCCGACACACGACACACGACACACACGACACACACACACACGACACACGACACACACACACACGACACACGACACACACACACACGACACACACACACACGACACACACACACACACACGACACACACACACGACACACGACACACACACACACACGACACACACACACACACGACACACACACGACACACACACGACACGCACACGCGTGCAGGAGGGAGGGAATCGGTGTTACTCCCATCATCACCATCACCACCCTCACCTTCACCATCGACTGCTACCACCGCCGCCACCGCCTCTAGGCTGCGACTGCCCCGCCAGCGGCCCCGAGCGTGTCTGCCCGTGGCGAGCGTGAGCGGTAGGTGAGGACCGCGGTGATCACCTCGCGTCGCTGGAGACCTCCATGGGGGAGGGGTGTGGGATTGGGGGGGGGGGTGGGATTGCGGGGGGGGTGTGGGATTGGGGCGGGGTGTGGGATTGCGGGGGGGGTGTGGGATTGGGGAGGGGTGTGGGATTGCGGGGGGGGTGTGGGATTGGGGAGGGGTGTGGGATTGCGGGGGGGTGTGGGATTGGGGAGGGGTGTGGGATTGGGGGGGGTGTGGGATTGGGGGGGTGTGGGATTGGGGGGGGTGTGGGATTGGGGGGGGGTGTGGGATTGGGGGGGGTGTGGGATTGGGGGGGGGTGTGGGATTGGGGGGGGGTACCCCCACGCCAAACATTGGAGAACTCGGCACGCTCGCGTGAGTTGGAGCGGGAGGCGGAGGCGGGTGGGGGGAGGGGCTCAAATCGCAATCCACAGCCTCGAGGAGGATTCCCCGTCACGGTGCGATCCGCATCACGATGGGGGAGGGAACGCGGAGCGAAGTGGAAGAAGTGGTTTCTCACGAATTTTTTTTTACTTGAAAAAAAAAAATCGTCAACAAGTTAAATCTATATGCGTCGATGTGTTGACTTAAAAAAAAGTATTTATAGATATTATTTTAAATCTAAATTTTGACAACTCATATAAGAACTGTTGTTGTTGTTTAAGATTTGTTTTGTAATGTTGGGAGTTGGGATTGAGCACGAGCCGGGATCCTGGAGGGAAGCGGCGAAGAGGAGGAGTGAGGAGGAGTGAGGAGGTGTGAGGAGGAGTGAGGAGGTGTGAGGAGGAGTGAGGAGGTGTGAGGAGGAGTGAGGAGGAGGAGGAGGAGTGAGGAGGTGTGAGGAGGAGTGAGGAGGTGTGAGGAGGAGGAGTGAGGAGGAGGAGGAGGAGTGAGGAGGTGTGAGGAGGAGGAGGAGGAGTGAGGAGGAGGAGGAGGAGTAGGAGTGAGGAGGAGGAGGAGTGAGGAGGAGGAGTGAGGAGGAGTGAGGAGGAGTGAGGAGGAGTGAGGAGGAGTGAGGAGGTGTGAGGAGGAGGAGTGAGGAGGAGTGAGGAGTAGGAGGAGGTGGTGGAGGCGCCGCTCACCTCGCCGTGCGGAAGACGCCGTAGATGAGGGGGTCGCTCTCCTCCTTGGTGGGCAGCAGGAAGACATCGACTGCACGCCAAGCGGGGGCACAAGGTTCAGTGCTGCTGCCACCACGTTCACAGCCACAACCACCGGGAGTTCACAAGCTCCCTTCTTCATACAAAACATGAAAACGACGAAACCAACGTTTCGTATTTCCCCAGGTCAAGGCCCCACTGAGGCATGAAGCGACCCTGACCATCACAAATGACAGCTTCAACGGAGCGGCCGGTCGTCATCATCACATGTATAGCAGGAGCCGTTCATAGCAGCCCGGTGCTCACATGAGACACGCAGACTTCTAATATACAGCAGCAGGCGTAGTCAGGGTGGGGATCGAAACCTCGACCTGTTGTGTAGCAGGCGAGGTTGTTAACATCTCCTAGCCACCGTGATGATGATGATGATGGGAGACACGCAGACCCCTAATATACAGCAGCAGGCGTCGTCAGGGTCGGGATGGAACCCACGACCTCCTGTACACCAGGCGAGGTAGTGAACATCTCCTAGCCACCGTGATGATGAGAGAGAGAGACACAAACTCCAAATACACAGCAGCAGGCGTCGTCAGGGTCGGGATGGAACCCACGACCTCCTGCGTGCCACACGAGGTAGTCAACATATCCTAGCCACGGTGGATTCCAATTATTGGTGGCGGCGGTGGCTCCGTACGGGGCGAAAGAAGTTCAACACACGTACGGGGGGATGTGTGTGGGGAGGGTGATGCGGAGGGGGATGGGGGGGGGGGGGGTGGCCACGCACCCAACTCGTCGAAGTGCGTGTCGATGCCGTCGGGGCCCGGCACGGAGCACAGGAGGCGCGTCTTGGTGAACGTGCTCCACTTGTTGAGCAGCACGCGGTGGCCACCCGCGTCGTTCTGCACGCCAGCGGGGGTACACACACGCGCACGCACACACACACGCACGCACGCATACACACACGCATACACGCACAAAGACGCATACACACACGCACACACACGCGCATGCACACACACACACGCGCATACACGCACACACACACGCACGCATGCATACACGCACAAAGACGCATACACACATGCACGTACACACGCACACAAAGATGCACAGGTGCATGAGTGCACGCGCTTGCACGCACGCATGCATGCACACAAAGACAAAGATCCCCCGTATAGCCGTAACAGACTGTTGGGGCAAGTGCTGCTAGCGAGCACCTATGACGCCCGAAATGGCACATGAGGGGGATGGGTGGCCAGAACCACGCCCGACCGCCTTTGTCTCCCCAGTGGCGATGTTTACACACCGCACCAGGTACTCATTTGAGGCTGAGTCGACCTAGGGGAGGCCGAGGCACAGGTTCAGAAAATCGCCACCGGTGTTGGCCGTGAGCGGGAATCGAACCCGGGTCGCCGGGTTCGTAGTGCAGAGCTGACCGCTGCACCACCGCTCCCCACACACGCACGCACACACGTGCACGCGCTCACATGCGGACTCGCGTGAACGTGCAGGAGGAGGAGGAGAAGGTACCCGACGCAGAGGTCAGAGAATGCGGCTGAGATCCTGGGCTGTAGTCGGAGAGAGTATTCCCGGGGTCTCATTGACTGACAAAGAGACCCACAGACTCACATAGAGACCCACAGACTCGCATAGAGACCCACAGACTCACATAGAGACCCATAGACTCACATAGAGACCCATAGACTCACACAGATACCCATAGACTAGCATAGAGACCCATAGACTCACATAGGGACCCAAAGACTCACATAGAGACCCATAGACTCGCATAGAGACCCATAGACTCACATAGAGACCCATAGACTCACACAGAGACCCACAGACTCGCCTAGAGACCCATAGACTCACATAGAGACCCATAAACTTATGCAGAGACCCATAAACTCATGCAGAGACCCATAAACTCACTTAGAGACCCATAGACTCATGTAGAGACCCATAGACTGGAATAGAGACCCATAGACTCACCTAGATACTCATAGACTCGCGTAGAGACCCATAGACCTTAGGTTCTCAAGTGTAATGAGCTGATGGTCCCGGCCCAGTCAACAAAAGATGCGCCAAAAAATATAACTACAATTTTTCAATTTTAAGTTTGGATGCATATTGTGTATCAAAGTGCATAAAAGGTCACTGTACAAAACAGTGGGCCAATATTTGATTTGCGTTTTCACTTAATTCGGCTACATTTTCAAAGCGAATCGTACCACTTGATAAAGCGGGGATAGCCTAAGGGCTGGGGGTATGTCAGCCTGAAACCTGGCAGGTATGTGAGCCTAAGGCCCCATACGTATGTGAGCCTGACGATTGGTGGGTATTTGAGCCTGACGCATGGCAGGTAAGTGAGCCTGAGGCCTTGCGGGTATGTGAGCCTGAGGCCTTGCGGGTATGTGAGCCTGAGGCCTGGCGTGTATGCGAGTCTGAAGCCTGGCAGGTGTGTGGACCTGAGGCCTGGTGTGTATGTGGGCCTGAGGCCTGGCGGGTATGAAAGCCTGAGGCCTGGCGGGTGTGTGAGCCTGAGGTGTCGCAGGCGAGAACAGCCTAGGCCCGAGGCCCGCACCTACCGCGCAGACGCGGCCGATGCGCGAGTACCGCGCCTTGCTCTTCCCGTCCGTCTCCATGGCCATCTCCGTGAAGAAGAAGTAAACCTTGTCGTCGTCATGGTCGTCCGTGTCGGAGATGACGTGCACCGCCACGAACCGGGGCTCTGTGAGACACACCAGGGAGAGACACCGAGAAATTACAGAGGGGGAAGATGAATTACAGACGGGCAGAGAGGAGACATTGATTGCAGGACAGAGAGAGAGAAGAAGTACAGACGGACAGAGACTGTTTACAAGACATATAAAATATATGACAGAGAGACAGATGAAAAACAGATATGGATGGTAGATAACCAGTTGGATTAACAGATGGACATGAAGATAGATGACTACACCGAAGATGGATAGACAGATCTACAGACGAATTACAGGACGGAGAGAGACAGACAGTTGGATTACAGAACCACAAACAGATACTCGAAACACACAGATGAATTCGAGCACAGAGAAACACATGACCACACTACATGCAACACGTGTGGAAACATTGATGCCAAGACATGCGATTTGACATAAATCAGCATTCATTGATGATTATTGAATCACGAACCAACGCATCGTGTACGCCGCTATGGCTGCGAGCGGCCTCACACAGTGACCAAAATTCTCTGCGGCGATGCGAGGATCGGGCGTCTGGACACGGGGTCGGGGGGGGGGTCAGGTTCAGGTTGCGTTGCTCAAAAACACAATGGACAGGCTCCAAACCGCTGGATGTGAAACCTCGCGAAGGGGCCGGGCGGTTACACAAGAGCTGCTTTGTGGCGGTGGTGGTGGCGGCGGCCGCCGATAGGGATCCACACGACATCATCGCGTCTATCTTTAGACAATCTCCGTTGTTCTTTTTCTTTTCTCGTCAGCAGAAAAAAAAATCACTTCCCTCCCAGTCCGTGGCGGACGCGACGGACTGGCGGGCAACGTTGCAGAAGCATCAACTCAACTATTTTTTGGTTTTATTTCACCGGGTAAGAGCCCTACTTGAGCTGCTGTGTAGCTCTTTATTTCCAAAGCGACCTGGCCATCACAAATCGTAGCTCAACGAAGTGGCTCATCGTCATCATCATCATCACGTGGAACTCTATCGCAGCAGCCAAATTACTCTTAGATGCGTGACGTCGATTCTCAATGTGGAGGGAGAGAGAAAGAGACACGCAAACTCCACACATACAGCAGGCGTCAGGGGTCAACATCGAATCCACAAACCTCCTGCATACCAGGCGAGGAGTTAACATCTCCTAGCCACCGTGATGATGATGGGAGAGAGACACGCAAACTCCACGCATACAGCAGGCGTCAGGGGTCAACATCGAATCCACAAAACTCATGCCACACCAGGCGAGGAGTTAACATCTCCTAGCCACCGTGATGATGATGGGAGGAGAGACACGCAAACTCCACGCATACAGCAGGCGTCAGGGGTCAACATCGAATCCACAAAACTCATGCCACACCAGGCGAGGAGTTAACATCTCCTAGCCACCGTGATGATGATGGGAGAGAGACACGCAAACTCCACGCATACAGCAGGCGTCAGGGGTCAACATCGAATCCACAAAACTCATGCCACACCAGGCGAGGAGTTAACATCTCCTAGCCACCGTGATGATGATGGGAGAGAGACACGCAAACTCCACGCATACAGCAGGCGTCAGGGGTCAACATCGAATCCACAAAACTCATGCCACACCAGGCGAGGAGTTAACATCTCCTAGCCACTGTGGCGTCCAACCATACGGATCGGAAGCAGGCAGATGGACAGAGCAACGGCGGCGCTGGCACGGAACGCATTCCCAGGGACCTGTGGAGCACCCACCCTGCAGACGCTCGGTGGAGGCGGCTCGCACTCCACTCGGGAAGCAACGCCGATTTGCGCACGGACCGGGGTTTCTCGGGGGGGGGGGGGGGGGGGGGGCAAATCCGATTGAGAAGGGATGGCTGGAATGTGATTTTGTATACTTTTTTTTTTCAAACAATGTCCTGCATTATTTACAAATGTCGACCAAGGACGTTTGACGCATACCAAGGAAAAACGTGAAATGTTCTCGCGACGATTCTACATCGGGGGACATCGCCGCCGCCACCACCACCCCAGGGGTCTACGGCAGTGGCCGTCACGAAAAATACAAATGGGGGGGGGCAACTTCCCCCCACCCCCCTCCCCCCTCCCCCCTCCCCCACCCCGAGGGGGCATCTCTACAAGCAACGCAGATACCTAAGGCAAAGATCCCCCATACAGCCTTCAACAGGCTGTTGGGGCAAGTGCTGTAGCGGGTGGGCGGATAGGGGTCCATGCGTGTGTGCTGGACTTCTTCAGCACCGTACGTAGCCAACCGCGCTAATCGGAGGTGCGGGGAATAAGGACAATTCGTTTTCAATTTAGTGTATAGTGTAGTATATAGTAGTGTAGAATAGTGGGGTATAATTGTCTCGTGTTTAGTGTATAATAGTAGTGTAGTGTGTAGTCGTGTGTAGTGTCGTGGTGTAGTGTCGTGTATAGTGTACTGTATAGTAGTGTATAACAGTGCAGTGTGTAATAGTAGTGTAGCGTGTAGCCGTGAATAGTGTAATGGAGAGTATTGTAGTGTGAAGTAGTGTATAGTGTATAGTAGTTTGTATGTACGTATGTTGAACTACACAGTGCTAAACGGATGGTTATGGGTTTTAATGAAAACACAGAGCGAAAGCGTGTCGACGCTCAGTCTGCTTGGACGTGACGCCAGACGAAGCTCCCGGGGGGTGCGGCGAAACGTCGGACGTTGTGTCGCACAACAAAGACAAAGATCCCCCGCGTAGACTTAACCAACTGTTGGGGCAAGTGCTGTTAGCGAGCACACAAGAAGGCCGGAACGGTACGCGAGGTGGTGGGTGGCCAACATCACGCCCGGCCGCCTTTGTCTCCCTCGTGGTGATGTTTAGATAGCACACCAGGTACTCATTTGAGGCTGAGTCGACCTAGAGGAAGAGGCTCAGGACCGGATCAAATAATGGCCACTGGTGTTGGCCGTGAGCGGGACTCGAACTCAGATTGCCGGTGTGGTAGCAAAGCGTGCTAACCGCTACACTACCGCTCCCGATACGGTTCCACACACACACACTCACCAACACAACGACAATGATCCCCCGTGTAGCCTTAACAGACTGTCGGGGCAAGTGCCGTTAGCGAGCGGCACCTATGAAGGCCGGCACAGTTGCACGTGAGGGTGTGGGCATTGCCAGGTGACACACACACACACATCAAACGGCTGTCTCCCAGGCAACCGCACAGGCAGATGGGACGGGTACAGCGACACAAACACCACCGTCACCACGACAACACACAAACATCAACAACGCGCCAATCACGGGGACGCCGCTTCCACGCCAAACGGGGAACGCGGCTCGCCGGATCGCTGCGCGCGACCGCAATTTTCTCCCAAAGAGCAAAAAGCGAATTCACTTGAAGTTGCCTTCTACGCTCGACACTCCCACGGGGTGGGGCCCCTTGTCGCCACCCCTCAAATCGCATCCCAACGGCGCCTTTCGCTGTGAATCTCGGGAGCCAGGAGCGTGCACCCGTGCCTGCGTTGGGAGAACAGCGTCCCCGCCGCCACCACCCCCCCCCCCCCCCCCCTTCGAAGATGCCACCACGAAACCACTCCAGAGGTCGCGTCGATCGGCCTCTTCTCCGCGCCGACTCGTTTGCACGGCCCGCTGAGGGCGTTCGTTTATCCGAGTTGGGCATTTTCCTTAAAGGGATCGACGCCGTGGACGTCTGCCGGAGGGAAAAAAATAAACTCTCGTGGCCCTATGGGATTATCCCAAGGTAAATACTCGGATTTGCGAGATGTTTCCGTGGCTGGCTGTGGCCGTTCAGCGTCGGTCGAGGTCGTGGGTTCGATCCCGATGCCTGCACATGTGGAGTTTGCATCTTCTTCCCCCTTGGTTGCGTGGATTTCTTTCTGAGCTATTTCGCTCTTTTTCCGAAGCGACCTGGCCAAAAGTGATAGCTCGACGAAGTAAGCTTCTCATCATCAAGTGGAACATTTTTCGTAGCAAAATTCTTTGCGTGCGTGATGTGGAGGGGACAATTGGAGGGCCTGGAGCAAAATCTACGCGACCACGGGTAAAGAGAGACACACAAACTCCAAATATACAACAGGCGTCGTTCAGGCTCGAGATCGAACCCACGACCTCCTGCGTACCAGGCGAAGGAGTTAACATCTTCAGGACGCGAACCGGCAAGTGGGAACAACAAATCAGGAAGCCGAAATCAAACCGTTCCAAAGCGGAGGATGGCGTGCGTGGAACGGCGTGCATGGGAATCGACGTTTTTTCTCTCTCGATTCATCAGCGAGCGGGGGGTGAACCGTTCAGGTCCAAGTGTGATCTCCATTAGTTACGCGCACGGTCAGGTTAAGCCGAGCCACCTGGCGATTCAACACGGTAGATCGTCGCCGTGATGGCGACTCACCGTTATCGTTTCACTTGTACTTATTGGGGGTGGGGGAAGGGGGGGTCAGATGGCCGTGAGTGGCTTTGACGTGAGAGCTGTGTGTAGTGCCACACGGCCAAACAAACCGCGCTTGCCCCCTGCCCCCCGTTGGATTTTCCATTCTTCATGGAGTCTCTCTTGGGTCCCATTGGTCGCGTGGGTCAAATGTGCGGCTGCTATGAATTTCTGAAGCCAGGCGCTCGCAGTCGGTGTCACGAAACTACTGCTGACGTTCTATTCAATCGGCGCGTTTCGGTGGCGAGATGTTATCTACCTCGGCCTGTCTCCAGGAGGTCGGGGGTTCGATCCTGACTTTGACGCTTGCTGTATATTTTGGAGACTGCGGTGTCTCGCTTCCCGCGGTGAGATGTTAACTACCTCACCTGGTATACAGGAGGTCGTGCGTTCGATTCAGGTCTCACGTCAATCGGAGGGCGAAGATTTCACTCGATTCGATTGGCCGTTGCGTGTGCGCGCGTGTCGCCGGGTGGTGGAGGGTGCTACCGCACAGCTCCACGAGCGACACCGCAGCCCCGCGTGACGAATCCCGATCGCGGGCACGACTCACCCCCCACGTGAGAACATCGGGGCAGTCACCGCGTTCGCCAGGGGGGCCCGTGGTGGGAACCCCACGGC